TTTCTTTTGCTTGAGAACAGTTAACTAATAACCAACATTGTTGTAAACAAGGAGGTCTGCGTCGATGCGGTGCAATGAACTTGATTATACACGCAAATGCACAGTGCAGGGGAAATTGTATGAATACCACGAGGAAAAGCTGTCGATACATAGACCGACAGAGAGATAAAGAGACAGAGGGATCGAGGGACAGATAGATGGATGGATAGCGGATAAATGCAGAGTTGGACAGATGAATAAATGCAGATAAACGCATAACACTGCACACAGGTATCCTCACCAGACCTTAAACCCCAGATCCATGTAGATACAGAGCTTGCCAGACCTGGCATAGCTTGCGGAGTGCTGCATTCTCGTGCACCGGTGGTGACAGGGACCTGCAGACTGAGTTCTGTGTTACCGGTGTAGGGTGTAGGGTTAGGGTTTAGGGCTCAAGTTTGAAAAGGTTTGGGCTTTAAAGCCTAAAGCGGATTTAATATCTTAAGGGTCTAAGGCTTATGTGGTTTTGAGGGTTTAGGTAACGAGGGCCCGGGAACATGGTTAGCAACGATGCCGGATGACCAAGAGCAAACGCAGAAATCCAGCACCAAGATCATCATCAACAACAACAGCAGCACCAGCAATATCGCGACAGGTGTTGACCCAATAGGACTTTTCGACAAAATCAAAAAATAATGTCGCGACCACAATCACCACCATCACCACAACCATCATCATCGTCGTCCTCACCATTATCACCAGCATCATCAGGATCATCAACGCCCTAAACCTCCAGCCGTAAACCCTAAGCCCCGAAAACACAGACCCAAAGCCCTAGGCCTAGACCCTAAACCCTGAACCCTACGCCCCAAACCCTGGACCCTAAACTCCCTGAGGCCTGACACCCCCAGCACCAGCCAAGGAGCCGGAGGTGCTCGAGAAGCTGAGATGCGAGGGCCTTCTCGTCCTTCCCGACCGAAGCAACAAAGTCCTGCTGAGGGATTTTAGGGTTGAGGGTTTGGCGTTTGGGATTTTGGGGCTTAGGGTTTAGGGTTTCGCTGAGGGTTTGGGGGGACGTGGTTGCACTTTCGGGTTTGTTGGGCTCGTTCTTGAGCCTTTGGGGGTGTGGCTGCTGGCTTTTAAAAGATTTCTGGGGCGTCGAGTTTTGGAGATGCTTTTGCAAATATCTAAAAACACTATCTATGCTAGTAATATCTAACATAATAGATGACAATGTGTTTAAAATGCTTTAGCCGACCAAAACCTACTGGTTTGTGTGGTCCCTAAAAATTCCATATCAGGGTTTGTACAATAACCTAGGAAAAAGAAGGTTATGGTAGTTTAAGGTATCCAATACTGTGATATGAGAAGGCTTTAGGGCTTAGCACTTTCTCGGGGCTACGGAATCAGTTAGGATCTACGGATATAGGTGCATGGGGAGGAATGTGACGCTGGGTTGAGGAATTTGGTCCTCAGGCTCATTTATGGTTCAGGAGTTGGGACTTAAGGTCTAGGGTTTAGGTTTTAGAGTTTAGGGTTTCGGGAGCTGTTTTCGCTTCAGGGTTTGGAATTTATGCTGCAGTGCGGCATAGCTGTTCTGGGCGGGGCTGTGGAAGCACACATGGCATCCGTTTGGACACGGCGTTGAAGGGTTTTGGGTACTGCAAGCTTACTTTTCTGAGTGAAACGACGAGCTTCTAAAGATGCTACGATGAAGCTCACCAGAAGTCTTACAGGACCCTTAGGGGGGTAGGGGGGGTAGGGGACTATACTTCCTTTAACAGGGCTTAGTACGTCCTAATCATGGGTACTAAGACCCCCTCCTCCCCCCCCCCTGCCCCCTACCCCCCCCCCCCCTAAGGGTCCTCATGAAGCTTAGGACTTACGGGTTCAGGGTTCAGGGTGCTTGCGAGGTCGTCAGGCTTCGGCGTACCCCGTGCTTAGCTCTCCGTCCTGCGAAACGATGGCTACTACTTGTGTCACTAAAGGGGCTAGGGTATAGGGTTTAGGGTTTGGGCAGGGTATAAGTTTGACATAGTCACCGTGACTCTAACTAGCACTATTATCGTTGCTGTCCAACCAAACTTGTATCATTGCTGGATATGCTCGTTCGTGCTGTTTAGGTCGCAGTTCGGCTTCACCTGTCAGTACCGACTAGCATGCTACCTTTAGAAATCTTCATGATCGCAATGGTTTCATGACCATTCAGATGACACATGCGGTGCGATTCTCATTGTCACATCACGAACGTTCGACCTATCAGCATTAAGAATATGTACATCGACTCAACATCCGCATCATTGGCCCAATACCAGTACCACTGAAACTGTCACTGCCAGTTTCACCACAAGTTACGTTATCCTTGTCACACTGCTGTGACACGTCATTATTGCTACGATCGCCGGTGCAGTCTTCTGCCTTCGCCGTTGGACCAGGAAAGCGCACATGCCAGCGCGAGCCATCTTTGTATGCGACCCTGTCGGGTACATTGAAGGATGAAGCGCATGTAAAGGAAACTTACAGGCTCACATGCTAGGTAAATCCAGCTTCGACCAGTTGCACGAGTTGCAATCCTACTTTGATACTCATGGTCCTTCAAGTGGGTGGTTGTCAAAATGAGGGCTCCTTTTTGGGGTACCATAAATATTAGGTGCCGTATTATAACAGGTACACAATAAAGGGACCCGAATTTTGACAACCACCCATTTGTCAACCTGGGTTTTTTTGAAAATGGGGGACCCTAGTATAGTACCCTAAATAGTAGGATCCTTATGATAAGGACCCCAAACTAAGGTACCCCTAAACTTCGGAAACTCCCGCATAAGGTTGTCCATGGCGTTCGACGGCTCATACGAAGCCCAATGCTCTGTGACCCCTGCGCTCTCCGTGCGTTTGCGCTTGACAGATTCTCTTCCCATAGACTCCAGTATCCCTCAATTAAGGAATATACCTTCGAGGGTTCCTTTAAGGGGTCCTTAAAGGGGTTTATCGGGTTTAGGGGGTTCCAATATCTCTTAATTCAGGAATACACCTTGCATTACAACAGGATCCTAATATGATTTAAGGTATATCCCTGAATGAAGGGATATTGGAGTCTCTGGGTTCAGGGTGGCTATGCGAGGAACTCTACCTTCGAACCGAGTGAGGGTTTGGGAGTTTTGGATTTAGGGTTTAGGGCTTACAGTCTAGGGATTAGGGCTTAGGGCTTGGGGTTCAGAAGGGGTCTTCGATGCGTTGCAAGGTCTAGGGAATCCAGAAACAGCACAACAATACCTACAATAATGCGAACAATAACAGCAACAAAAATATGCTCAGTCAACATCTGACACGAAACAATGCAACCACCAAGTGCATCTCGAGGCTATACGACTACAAGCGAGGTAACCGCGCATCTCCTCCTGTCTCTCTGACCTATCGGGCCCCTTTCCTGCTTTTGCGTGCTACTCGGTAGGATAGCTTGTAGGATAGATGAAACCCTACTTGTTTGTAGGTTCTTATCATAAACCCTAATATGGAATCTATAGGGGGCTCTATAGGGACAACGCTTGTAGGACAGATGAAACAGATTCCCAAACCCTCGAACACCGAATGCCAAGTGACACGACACCAGCCATGGCTGCCGGCCACTGAGGCCCTTCTTGGGAAGAATTTCCGCCGTCGTCACTGGGGGTTTAGGGTTTACCTTAACCCTGAATAACCTACCTTTTTAGGGTTCCTTATTGTGATTTCCTTATATAAGTCCTTAAAAAGGTAGGTTATTCCGGGTTAAGGTAGGGTGAAGGCTTCTGGGGATGTGGGAGGTCAGCTTTGGTCTCGCAGCCCTCTGCATGTACATCTTTGGGCTATGCCTGGCCTAGCACACCATTGCTGAGCTCCCTGGTGCTTAGTAGGGAAGTGCGGGAAGGGATTGTGGAGACTATTATTGGGGAATATATAGGGACTACTCTAGGGATCCATTCTCTACGATTCATGGAGACTATAATCTTGGGGATTATATAGGGACTACTATAGGGATCCATTCCCCCATTCTTTACCAAGAACCAGACAGTGAAAAGAACTTCTTTAGCTGGAAGCCAGAGAGCTGCCGGACGAAAGACCATGGAACCGCCAGAGGCTAACTCAAAGGGGAAAAGGAGGGACCCTTAAAGGGTCCCTTTAAAGAGATCTACAGGGATTCTGTAAGGGTATAGGGTTTAGGGTTTAGGGGTTTGGGGGCTTAGGGAGTTTAGGGGAAAGGGAGGGACCTTTAATGGGGACCCCTACCCTATAACGAGCTATATGATGGGTATATAGTAGCTATATTAAGGGTATATACCTAGGGGTCCTTATTAAGGGTCCCTCCTTTTACCCTTGGATTAACTGCACAGCCCCAAGCTTTTAGCTATCTCCCCAAGCCCGAAACCTTAAACGGCTGAGTCTTAAGACCTGCACGCGAACCCCCAAACTCAAAACCCCGAACACAACACCTACAGAAACCTGATAAACCGTATATCAACTTTATATCAACCTTTTCAAAACGCTTGAAGAGGCCAACTACACTTAACTACACCCTATTGAGCCCTAGAAAACCACATACGATCCCTTACAACCTGATAAAGTCCTCGAAACCGACGAGAACCCTCGCGGAACCCCGATAGAACCCACAACTCTGCTTCATGGCTGCATGATGCACAACTCATCCTTGACTTCATCAGGGTTTGGGGTTAAGGGTTGAGGGTTTAGGGTTCAGGATCTGGGGTTTCAGGTCCAGCTGACTTGACTTCAAACCCTCCCACACCTGGCATTGACAAACTCACAGCACATCGACTGCCGAGAATTACGAAGAGGAAGACGAGTAGAGACAAGATTGCTTGATGATAAGCACAACAATGATGCAGAAGACACGAGTGAAGGCTAGCACTGATCATACTGATAATCATGAGAACATGAGCAAATCGAAGCCGAAGCTGCGTTCGGTTGGTCATTCCGCTATCAGTACGGCTACTTGCTGCTGCTGTCACTAATCACTAAACCCTGAACCTTTAAATTATTCTTGCCGCTTTGGTGATTGCATTGTTGCCGGTCTGGACAGCATGAAAGTTACTTGTTTCCGTTGCATCCATACATTCACAAGCTTCGGCGCAGTAGCCGCAACCGGAGGACGAGTCAGGGACACTGCAAGTTCTCCTCGAAATCCAACAAACCCCGATTGCAGGAACTGCACAAGCACATGACCCGACTTTCAGCAAGCATTCACGGCATGTCTCAACGGTAGAAGGGTCGTCCTGCGGGCCATGAGGCCGTCGATAGCCTGTGATCCGCTTGCCGAGAATTCTGAGGACTGCCAAGGCCACAGAGACCACCAATGCTCCCGTCACAGAACACGTGACTGCTTCCGAGTGGAAGGAACTGAAACTGGCGGAACTTCCGATACCTCTTCCTCGGGCAAGAGTTTGATTCAAGTTACAATTCAAGAAGCCATCATGTGCCGCATTGTCACAGTCACATGGGCGGGATGCCATCCAGCCCGAACGGAACGCAGCTACCCTGCCAGACGCAGCGGTACCACATGGGTACACTCCTTGCAAATTCACTGCAACAATCTCAATATTTTCAGGAACGTCCCAGTCGTATTGAAACTGGAAGCTGTCCAGGCGGCCTGCTTCTGCCGCACACTTCACCATCTCAGTTGCATCATTGGGGCCGACTTGGCGTCCACAGAGCTGCTCCGCTGCAACCGCATGGGTTTCAAAAACACGAGTCCGTCCTCGGAGGTTCAAAAAAAGAGGGGCCATCGTAAAGAGCTCTGAACTCATGCGGTTCGTCTTAGAAGGACCCGGGTTATAAAGATTCCTGCATCAAGTACGGTACCCCTGATCTTAAGAAACCCGCTCCTGTGTTGAACCACACACTACTACCTGGAGCATAGAGAAACCACATGCCGACTTCCTCACCTGTCACTCCTCCTCCTTGGTGGCGCACCTCGATCCACTGGTGGTTCCCCACAGCACCGTAGCCTTTCCTGCCGTAGCCTCCTTTCAGGTGCTTGATCCAAAGGCCATTCTTGTAAGAGCCCTTACTCACGTCAGTCACCTTCACGTCATACAGGCCACCAACATCCACCTGGTCCATGCCGTGAAGCCAATCATTCACAAGCTTCACCGGGTGCCCAGCGATGCCTGCACGCTCATAGCTATCCCGGTCTAAATACCAGAAATCCCAAGTGCATATCGGATACCCAACTTCTGGAACTGCCCCATAGACGTGCTCGAAATACGCTGCCCACGCCGATCTCAGTAGTTCGGCCCGGCTGCTAAACTTCGGCCAACCGTAAGCCTCCTCTGCATCTGAGCACCTTGGAGGTATCGGAGAAGCTGGTGGTGAGAGCGTTGCGCCTGATGTGCTTGCAGGGTCTGGTGGCCATCCTGTCAGAGGACAAAGGCTTTTCAGTGAGCAGGTGCCAGATTTGAAGGTCCAGCCCCTGCAGTCCACGGATCTACTGCAAGCATTGCAGCAATCATCTGCCGAGGGCAATGACGTGTTCAGAATGTCAATGCCCACTCCCTTTGGACCGATGCAAACGCTTTCTTGGAATGTGATGCATTGCTCAACTTGGGCTGTCATCCGGGGTTACGCATGTACGACATTTTTCATTTAATTTGAACACAAAAGCCCTTGCAAACCTTCAGTCCACACCGAGTCGGGCTAAGGGTTTGGCTTCCCAGGGAAGCAGTTTCGCTTTCGGAAGCGAATTGCAAAGACGGGAAATTTCAGAACAACATGACATGTTACAACTAGTTCCACGATTAGTTGTCAGAGCCGTGATATTTGTCGTTTGGCTTATCTCGCAACTTCTCTTGCTGAGAGCCGAAAATAAGCGGAGCTATTTTCCTTCCTCGGCTGCCTCGGCCTCGGCTACGACCCAATGTGAACGAGCATCCCCGTGCCGCAACGACCTTTTCATTCATGGTTTTCAGTCAACAAGTTTGGATGCATTGCTACGCGAAGTACTTTTGAACGTACGGACATCCAAGCCAGCAGCAGTCTTCAGGACGGATCTCTTAAACTTTCCAAAGTAATACTCAACCAGGAACGCATGCTTGAAGATGTCAGTGGTGAATCAATCTTTCAAACACGCAAAAGTCACATGTGTTCTTGACGCACACCGAGTAACGCACAGCTCTGCACTGTCTTGCCATTTGATGCATCCTCGCTTAGTTGGTGCTTTCTGAACAAATGCTTCTGAAGTTGCAAACCGTAAACAGCACGCCTGTTTTCTTTGACAAGGCTGTAGATGCATGAGTGGTCATGTCATGTGCATGCTTGTTGCACTGCACTCTGCACTGCAGGCACATGCAAAGTAGCGGAGACATGGAGTCGGTTAGGTCTGACACACACCCTCATTCTGATCGTCCTTCGGGTGATCACATTTAAAACGACAGCCTCTAAGCACGCCATCGTCCAGGTCAGACAATCGGAGTACAACCGAGAAGGTCCAAGGCCGCTTCAGTGCTTGCTTCCAAAGAAGTCTTCGGCTTGGTTGTATGGGTAGTTGTCAAAATTGTGGTCCCTTTTTGGGTCCATATTATAATACGGCACTTAATATTTAGGGTACCCAAAAAGGGACCATAATTTTGACAACCACCCGTATCTTGACCACCAGCCAAGGCCAAGCGATCTCAGCTCGTTTGATTTCGGCTCAATTGCACGCTGCACTCTGTCCCACCAGTGAAACGCAGGCTGGCCTGGATCCTGTGTCAGACCGACGGAGTTTGATCAAAGTAGCCAAGCCATCCCATGCAGCAATGTGTCCCGAGTTTGAACACTCGCTTCCGACACCAGAGCGCGCCGAAAGAGATTTGGAGGGACAGCGAGATGGGTCGCAGAGATGATTCAATTATTAGTCGATTCTCTCAAGTCAATTATGCCGCTGGTTTCATGCACAGAGAATCCTGCGATCATGCGGCATGCGTGTTCCTGAGGGATCGATGCTCATGAATGTTGCTGATGACCCTACTTTTGGCACCGCTGGGATGGCTCAAGCAGGCGTACATCCGTACGTTGAAGATGTGGTTCGAGATATCGGTCGACATTGCCCACAAGTTTGGTGATGTTTTCTTTTCTGAAGCGTGAGCGTACAATTTTGGAAGCTGGTATTCTCATAGAGACACTTGATACCAACATCAAACACATGGCAAAGACCCTTGGTATAAAGAATGGTTCGACGCACATATTTCATACAGTGTCCGAGTCTTGCAGGATTTATGCGTTCTCTGACGGAGACAGCGATGAGAGGGATTCATGGTTTGACCAAGTATTTGCCGAACACCGCGCACTGCGCTACTCTGCTTGCGCCGAAGCTTCCTGGGTCCTCAGTTCTCCGAGAAGCGCAACACGAGACACTCCAGGCTCATGTCCTCCTGCTCTACCTCGAGGATTCGCTTGGCCTCCAGACATGTCTATGGGCATCTGGAAGAGCCAGTCACGCACATGATACGCAAACGACACGAGGCACCTCACCATTGGACTCCAACGTGATCAGCAGACAAAAGCCGACTAGCTTTAACAATAACTGATCAGTTCACCCTGTGACCAGCTATAGCTGAGCGAGTGCCTCTGCCTCCGCCGCCTTTCGCTGCTCTGCCGGCACCACAGAGAACTGGCAAGCAGAACTTCTTGCAAAATGATCCATCTCTGTCACATGGGTTGTTGACGCTGCCGTGTGCCACTAACAGGTGCGGGATGTTGGGTTTCAGGCACGCGCTCGCGTCACGATGATCTTGCCGTTTTTCAAACAGCCTTGAGGCCATGCTGCATTCCTGCTGGTTGGCATACTTGCGGGCATATCAGTTATGACATCAAGGATTCTGCAAAGCTTGGGATTCAAAACTTCCAGCGGCTTTCAGACCTCAGGCTTTGCGTAGTGCTCTTTGAACTCAAAGGATTGTTCAGCGTCAGGGCGTTTGGGCTTTTTTGAAGCTTCACGATGCTTGGCATTTAGGGCTGTTGAAATCACCCTGGGGTGAAGAACAACGAGAGCTTTGCGCGCTTTCAGCTTGCAGCCTCTAGGGTTTGCAATGCAATTTCAGTGCCCGGGTTTTCGGATTGGCGCAGTCCTATCATCATCGAGACAGCAGGAGACAGCAAAGATGGCGACAACAGCAACCACAACAACGATAGCAACAATGAGAGCAATTCTTGCTAACGCACAGAGATTGCCGTGATAAGACCAATGGCGAGCAATATGCGTACATGCATGAGGCAACATATAAACTGAGGGACAGAAAACACACAGGGCTCGTGGTCTCTCTTGACATGTCTTTCCAAGTTGTGCTAGGTCCTGACCATTCCAAGCAAAAGGCAAGTTCTAGCAGATGGCAAGAAAGATGACTGGCAAGCAGATGCTGGGGAGATCCAAGAGATCTCAAGTTCGAAATCCAAATCCTCCTCATCATGCACCTGCTCCCGACCACCCCAGGTAAAGACGCATGGGCTGAGCGGCTGATGTGTCAGCATCATCTGTGCTAGACATGCAGACACATGATGCATCGACCTTCGGCTCTGAGTACACCAGCATGTGGCCTTGTGAATGATCTTTGAGACCTGGGCCAACCCAGGAATCAACTGCCAGGGGAGCAAGGGAGCCAAGCCCAAAGCAAGCCTTTGTGTCTGTAAACACGCCATGCAAAGGTAGGCTGGACTGCAATGCAAAGTGGCTACTTTTAGGGTCGGGGGACTTAGTAAGTAGGTAATAAGTAGAGTTATAAGCACCCTAAACGGGATCCTAATTGAGGTTATGGTACTTATAAGTCTGCAAGATAACTAGTTACTAAGTCCCCCGGCCCTCCAAGTAAGGTTGCCTCATGAACGAGGGGCACTAAGATTTATGAAAGCCTCCTTGTTAAGGTCATATTAAACCTTATTACAGCCTTATTAAGCCCTTGTTAAGGCCATAGTAAGGCCTTATTACAGCCTTATTGGCTTGCTCACAAGTCAGATCCGGATTGTTCCTCCGGCACCTTGCTAGCTCGAGCAAGTATGCATGCGACTTTAGGGTTTAGGGTTTAGGGTCTAGGGTTTAGGAGTCAATTACAAAGATGTTGAAACCATTGCAGCAAAAACGGAACAATCTAAACCTCAGAACCAGGATTTGTCACAAGGGTGCATAATAGGAACAAACATAAAAGCGTTCAGGGTCTGGGAGGGATTTGGATTAGGTTCTGGCAGCCCTGATGGTGTCAAGCTCGGGCTCACACGCCAGAACCTTCTCAATCTCGGTCTTGGCTGCTTGCTTGCCTGGCGTGACTGAGCCTAAGCGCCTAACGACACTGAGCTTCTGCAAATCTTTTGTGCAGAAAATCTCGCAGAGGTTACTGGTAGACCATGCCGTTGAGCTCGATGCAGAAGAGTTCCGGCTTCTTGGTCTCCTACCAAAGCACCAGCATGATAGAAGGGGCCCCAGGAATATAATAGGGCCCTAATATAATCCTTATAGTCACTATTACAGGGTGGGGGCAGCTTCTAACCAGCATGAAAGTCTGTCAGTTTCTGATTTCACGCAGCACGCACAGATGCTTGCCGGAACCAGCTTTTCTAACTAGCTTTTTCAACTCTCCAGGATCTGTTGAATCTGTGAAACCTATTTTCAAACCGCATTCAAAAATGGCCCAACTTGCATCCATCTCTCGGTTCCTGGAAGCCAAAGTCACTTGCAGAGGCGGCCCCTCTGCTCCCAGCGCCGAATTATTGCCGCTTGGCCACGGTACAGGTGAAACGTTAAACTTGACCAACTTCACAGCACATTGGCGTTTTCCACTGATGTTCCTGAATGATGGCTGGTCAATCACATTGAATTTCCCCGAAGTGCAGATTTTGCCGCTCCGGGCAGTGGCAGCTGAGACAGGAAAAGATCCTTCTTGGTAGCTTCCTTGGGCGGGGGCGACGCAAGGAGAGATTTGGCGAACTCATCTTGAACGGCGGAGCTGTCACCGCCATGATCTGCAGAGCCCCACGTGATGACAGATCCATCTGCAAGGATGGCAGCAAATGCCATCTTTGAGCTCCGAATCAGTTGTACGCTCTTGAGCTGATGTTGGACATTGCGGCTGTCACCACCATAGAACTGATTGCCCCATGTGACTACCGATCCGTCTGCCACGATGGCAGCAAATGCTTCATTTGTGCCTTGAACTGCTTGCACCTTCTGCAGCTGGTCTTGCACCTTGGAGCTGTCACCACCCAGATCCAAACTGCCCCACGAGACGAGGGATCCATCTGATAGAATCGCAGCAAAAGCAAAGTTCGTGGCTTCAAGCTTCTCCGCCTTGATTGGGACTTTGGAGCTGTCGGCTCCACAGCACCATGTGGCAACTGAGGATTGTGCAGCTGACCTCCGGAGGCGATCTTGGACAATGGAGCTGTCACCACCCATGTCAGCGTCCCCCCATGTTACAACCGATCCGTCCGACAGGATGGCAGCAAATGCGGAGGACGAGCCCTTGAGTTGCTTCACTCCACGGAGCTGATCTTTCACCTTGGAACAGTCACCGCCACATGCTTCACGACCCCATGCGACGACCGATCCGTCTTCAAGGATGGCAGCAAATGCATAAGAAGTGGCCTCA